AACTGGATCAACAAGCAACATCCTGATAAACGGAGAAAAGACTGAAGTTGTCAAGGATTTCATTTTACTTGGATCCACAATCAACACCCACGGAAGCAACAGTCAAGCAATTGAACAGAGCACTGCATTAGGCAAACCTGCAAAAGACCTCTTTTAACCAGGCATATACCCTGAAGAAATGAGAACCAGGACAAGAACAGATCTATGCACACCCAAGTTCATTGCAGCACTACTGACAAAGAGATGGAAACAACCTCAGTGCCCATCAGTGGAGGAATGGACAACCAAACCGTGGTCCATAAACGCAATGGAATACTATGCAACCCTAAAGAAGAATGAAGACCCCACAGAACACCTCATAACATGGATGAACTTGGAGGACATTATGCTCAGTGAAGTAAGCCAATCAGAGAAGGACAGATATTTTATTAGTTCCTTATTATAAAAAGTCAAGAAAAGGTTTATATATGAAAGGAAACTTGGTTGGTTACTGGGGGTGGGAGGGGAAGAGAGGGAAAATTGCTAGACAAGTAAGAGATAAGTGTTGATTTGGGTCAAGAGAAAGGCAACATACCAAAAGTGAGGAACCAACACAGAAACGATGAAGGGTTACAGACAACAAAGGTAAATACTTTTACACACACAGTACTCCATTATTAATAATGAACAAACATTAAGCTAAACCATGATGTTTTCAATCACTTCCTATGCATGCAAAAGCTGGACAATGGATGAGGAAGACTGAAGAACTGATGGATTTGAATCGTGGTGTTGGCAAAGAATACCGAACATACCACGGACTGCCAGAAGAACGAACAAATTTGTCTGGGAAGAAGTACAGCCGGTATGTCCCTTAGGAGCAAGGATGGTTAAGATGCTTTGGACAGGCTATGAGGAGAACCAGGCCCTGGAGGAGGAGACCATGCTCGGTCAAGTGGAGGATCAGTGAAAAAGGTGAAGACCCGCAACAGGACAGACCGACGCAGTCCACTAACGCTGGGCTCAAACAACAGCTTCAAGGACGGCACCGGACCAGGGTTCGTTCTGCTGTACCCAGGGTCACTAGGAGTTGGAAATGACTTCACAGCACCTAACAACATCACATCTTTGTGGAAGGAGATCACCACATCTCTCTCCTGTGGGGAAGTTGGGTGGGTTCCAACCACAGCCGTCAGGTTAACAGCCAAGAACTTAACCTTTGTGTTAGCAAACAGACACCAAACCAAACCCACTGCCCTCAACTCAACTCCAACTCACAGTGACCCTACAGAACAGAGTGGAACTGCCCCACAGGGCTTCCTGGCCTGTAATCTTTATAAGGAAAGGAATGCTGGTCAAGCAGTAGTTAAGTGCTCCGCTGCTAACCAAAAGGTCAGTGGTTCGAACTCACCAGCTGCTCCGTGGGAGAAAGATGAGGCTGCGTGCGTCTGTAAAGATTGACAGCCAGTTTGCATACCCTACGGAGCAGTCTATTCTGTCCTGTAGGGTCCCTATGAGTTAGAAGCAACTTGATGGCAGTGGGTTAGCCTTTATAGAAGCAGACTGCCCCATCTTTCTCTCTTAGAGCAACTGGTGGGTTCAAACCGCCGACCTTTCAGTCAGTAGCTGATCATTATCCACTGTGCCACCAGGGTCCCTTGAATGTATAACAGGAATATGTTTTACTATTATTATTATTATTTAAAAAAAAAAAAAAAAAAAGGTTGACTAAATGAGATGAGTGAAGAATTATCACCCAGAGTGATATCAGCGCTTTTGTGTAGCAAAAATACAAATATACAGCTTCGAAGTCTACAGACTTGGAACAGATTCCATAGTTAGGAGTCAACCTACACGAAACATTAAAATAACAACTGCTTCTGGTAGCATAGTGGCTAAGGCACTTGACTGCTAACCAGAAGGCTGGCGGTTCAAACCCACCAGCCACTCCTCGGAAAGAAGGTTGGGCAATCTACTTCCGTAGTGATACTGCCTCAGAAACCCAAGGAGGGGTCTCTATGAGTCGGGTCCAACTCGACGGCACATAATAACAACAACAACAACTCAACAGATATTCTAAAACCACGGAGTAAAAAGTATGAAAATCACAACGTAAGGCATTTGGCTGCTAACCAGGTGGTCAGCAGTTCAAACCAAGCAGCCGCTCCAAGGGAGGGGATCTACAGCCGTCAAGATTTACAGCCTTGGAAACCCAGGAGGTGGCTTTCACTTGAAATCAGACACCATGGCAGCAGGTCTGTATGTAAATTATAACTAGACATAAATAAGTGAATCAATGACTCAACCTACCCTAATACATTAAGTACAAACTGTATTACACATAACATTGGAGTATACTTTCTTTTAGGAGCGCTGGTAGCATAGTGCCTAAGGCACTTGACTGTTAACCAGCGGTTCAAACCCACCAGCCACTCCTCTGAAGGAAGGTTGGGCAATCTACTTCCATAGTGATACCGCCTCAGAAACCCAAGGAGGGGTCGCTATGAGTCAGGTCCGACTTCATGGCACATAAGAACAACAACAACAACATACTTTCTTTTGGGATTTGTACTCATCATAATTAAAGGGAATGGACTGATCGGTTCGTACATAATGCTATGTATAATATGGTTTGCATTACAGGATTTATGAATCATTTTTTTCTTCAGTAATTTCCTTTTCTGTCTTCTACCTATTATCATGGTGGTGGGAAACTGCTTTCACAGTGGGAAGGAAATCTATTTTCAATTAATGAGTGTTCTGGAAGGAGAATGCATTTGCCTGGGTCTGTCTGAAAACATATGCAACGCAAAGAAAAGTAGGGTCGGGATTGTTTCTGTTTCCAAATTGTCTCTGCTGGTAACCTTACACATCAGACTTCTCTCACATGAGACACCAGACTCTCCCTCCTCATCTAATCCTGAATCCCAAGTGCTGGAAGTGGCTGTCCTCATTTCTGGTTCCTGCTGCCCTTTTTTTCATTGTTACAGCTGAGTAATTGACAATTTATGCAAGGGGCTCATCCGCTTAGCAACTGGGAGGGTGGGGCTCAGAAACAGAGGGACCCACACCAGCAGCATTCTGCCACCCGGGAGGAGAAAGGGAGATGGGAACTGGCTGAAGGCCATGTGACAGCGCTGAGGGGCAAACAAAACAAAGACGGGGAGAGGGAGACAGTGTGCTATTTTCAAGTACTACATCCCCGAAGGGCAAATCCAAACAAGAAATGCCCTATATTTTCTCAAACAAAACTCCCAAGTAGAGTCTTAGGAATGCCACGTGATTAGAATGCCATAAATAGCTCTTTAAAGACAAAAAGTTCCTTACACCACCATCTCTAACTGGGTCAATGACTTCCCCTTAGAAACCTCCACAGGGAAAGGGGCGTGACTTCGCTGACAGTCCAGTAAAGGTAGGTTCAGGGGGAGATCCAGGTGCCCAGGTGAGCGCCACTGATGCGGTTAAATCAGAGAAGGGCTCCTAGCGCAGGGCCTGTAGCATACTTCACGTCATCTAGCAGCCCCGAAGGAGCTCTGGTGGCACAGGGACTGAGGCACTTGACTGCTAGCCCTCCGACCCACCAGCCCATCTATGGGAAAAAGATGAGGCAGCTGGCTTCCTTAAAGATTGACAGGCGTGCAAACCCTGTGGGCAGTTCCACTCTGTCCTCTAGAGGCGCTGTGGGTCAGAATCGACTCCAAGGCAGTGAGTGTGTTTGGGCTTTGCTTCTGTGAAGATTGACAGCCTTGGAAACCCTGTGGTGCAGTTCCACTCTGTCCTCTAGGGGTGCTGTGGGTCAGAATCCACTCCACGGCAGTGGGTGTGGTTTTGACTTTGCTTCTGTGAAGATTGACAGCCTTGGAAACCCTGTGGGGCAGTTCCACTCTGTCCTCTAGGGGCGCTGTGAGTCAGAATGGACTCCACGGCAGTGAGTGTGGTTTGGGCTTTGCTTCTGTAAA